TTCGAGTCCTTTTTTGGTGAACCACGAGGTTTCTCTTTTATTGTCTATTGATTTCGTTGCTGTATAGACTATTAGTATTAGATGCTATGCTACAGAAAGAAATCGAAGAAATTTATTTGCTACCTGCGTACGAGGTTGGTTTTTGTTCAAGTGAAAGATATGATTCTCAGCATCACGCCAATTGAACGTAGCAAAATCGAATGAGAGGACGAAACAGAATTTACAAATGATTGTAAAAAAAATTGATCCAATTTCCGATGCACAAGTAAAACACTGTAGTCTATTTTGGAGCATCACGAATTATTATCTCGATGTGAACGCGATCGATTTGATACAGAGAAAATTAGAGAAGTAAATAATTTGATAATAAGACAAATCACGCACACTTTAACACTGCACTCAGTGTTGAGCGTTTATTTCATGTCAAACCACAATAAATCGCTCGAATCCGGAATAATAACTCATGCTAGACGAACGCTGGTGCTAAATCTTCAGTTTAACCTGATCTGATGGCGACACTTTTCATATAAAAACTTCGAATGTGTATCAGAAACGAAAAATTACGAGCCTTTTTTAATTTACGGTTATTGCATTTTAATTGCGCGTATTAAAAAAGAATAAAATTTCTGCCGTTGGCCTGTTTTTCTCTTACTCACGACCATAAATTTGTTTCTGTGGGTAGAATAAATAACGCTGCAGCACGCAGAAGCGATGTCGTTGACAACGATAAATTTTTCGAAGCAGCATATTTTTATTGGTCGTTTTCGATTCGAAATCGATAGCCAATGTGAAGAGAAGGACATTGAAAAGGCGATTCAAAAACTGCATGTCTAATTTTTGTTTTGTTTTGGTTCTTGTGATTTTATATACTGGATTACAATCAAGATATCGTCCTTGATCCACTATTCCGTTCGCACAATAGCATTCGTATTTGAGATAAGGTTCGTTTCTCAGCACACGGAAAATAGACCTGCTCACGATATTAGAAATTCGGAATTATTTAAGAGGCAATAAATTTTGAGCGTTTGTCATAGCCTTTCAGTAGCTACTTACTTCACAGTTGGATATAGGAGCCTTTTTGGGAGTTCCAGTGACATCGTGTATCTATGGTTTGTGATCTAAACAAGTGAATATGAAATTTTAAATAGCACATAAATCTTTGACATTTTCCAATGTTATGGCAGAGGTCCACAAGTCATAGACCATCTTTTTATGGAAACGGGCTCGAAATTTTTTATTAGTAACAAATTGTTATCATCATTTCAGCATCTCGTCGATTTTGAGGACAAAAAACAAAAAGGATGCTGAGAACAATTTTTTATGTAGTTCCTGAAACGACGCTTTGTAATGAGAATATTTTTTTTTCAATGCAATTGATGTAAACAAAAAGAAATAAATGTCCTTTTCCTGTTTGAGGTGATGAAAAAAGATATGTTTTTGGTTGGGCTATGGTAATTTTTCCGGATGATCGTTGATCACAATATAAACTGGAAATTTATTCATCGATTTTTGGATTCTCACACCAATCTAAAAGTTGTCTTTAATTCTCTTTTGATCCATTCTATTTTATCAGCATTAGACAAATTTCTTGATCCATGGCATGAAAAGAATTTTCTTCTCAATAAGGAGCACCCGTTCTATAGATGGTTATTTTGCTTTCTAAATATATTCACAAATCGCTTTCATTTTCAGCAATTCGTGGTTTTTCTCTTCCTTTGTAGAAAACCTTGAAATTTGAAAATGTGTGATTTTAATTATAGCAAAATGTTATTATTGTCATTATTTTCGAATAAATTCATCAATTGTAATAAAGTCGAGCACAACTTCAAATCATTTGTTTAATCATTGTAATTGAAAAAACACATGCAACTAACTAATTAGTGAATTCATTAGAATGAGAGCTGCAATGAAAATAAAAGTGACCACATTAATTAGGTCATTACATTATGGACATTAAAACATAGATTCAAAGTGAGCTAAAATACCTGCGCTATCAGACGCTATTCATTCAAAATGCTGCCCAACCAAATAGAGTGGTATTTGAATTTTTTCGACGTTTTCGGCTATAATTCTGGTCCCTCACAACTGTCCAGGAATCAAAAGATTTCTTGCTTCATTTATATTGTGCACATTTCAATCGCAGTGTTCTATGTTCTTTACCACATACACCCAAATTAATTGAGGTGATCAATTCGGTGTTGCAAATATCTTCAGCTCTATTTACTTACTGCTTCATTGTTCTGGATTCGATTTTCTACAGACGTGAGCACCGACTTTTCTGGGAATATTTTGGAAAAATACAAAAACCAAAATCTCTAACAAATTTCTTACGTTTTTTTACGAATTCACATGGATCAGCTCTAATGTGTTTCCTATTAAAATTTGCAACATATATATTTGCAATGCTTTCATTCCTCTTGGCATTCATCCTAACTACTCCCAATTCAACTAGCTATATTCCTTCCGCTATGATTCTTTATAATTTCTTATTCAAAATGTGTGAAAGTCGAATATTTTACTATATATATTTTGTGTTGAAGTTCTATGCTGTGAACTGAAAAATATCGTCAACGTATTCCGAGCAAACAAAAGCAATACTCATTTTTGGGTTAGATCCAAAGCATTTAAATTGTTTCGAAAGCAATATGATTGTATTTACGAAATGGCAAATTTGTTGAATGAAGTGTTTGGTTTGTCACAATTGATGGGAATCCTATTTTGTTTTCACATTTTTCTTGGGCGAACAAACTACGTGCTCGTACATTACAACGATTTCTCTACTGTGACAGGTTTAGGTAAATATTTAAAACAACTTTATTATAATTTTGATTATTATCATTTTTCATACTCTAGGAATTTACTCAAAGCGAAACAAAATTGTGGTGTTACACAGAAGCAGAACATTGTATTTTTGCATACAGATGCTTTACGTGCAATATACGTATCATAGTGTTCGGAATTCGTCTAACAACCAAATGTTGTTTCGATTTGTCATGGAAATGTTCTATAAGCTGCGTGTGAGCATATCAAACGTTGTTTCTATTCTGAAACGTTCAAATGGCCTGCGATAAAATAGAGGATAAATAAAATTTTGAAGAAAAAAAACGGTTTTTACATATTCATTGCTTAACAGTAAAATTAGGCGTAAAAATGTGAAACATCTCCAAATATTAAAAAATAAAATGTTCCTAATATTCATCATAATATTTTTCGTATATCTGACATATTTAGATAAAATTAGATTGTGCAATCTCGTGCAATTGCTTTGGTATTTATTATGTTGGTTTTTAAAAAAATTGTCAGAAATTTCAAGAGTAGTTCTGCTGAACAAATTTGAATTCAAACTGCAGCCGAATCACTAGCGACAACACTGAATTAGCATGTGGTAATAATTTTGAAGCTGTCAAATCTCTTATCGCATATCCAAATGTCATGATTGCAAGTTGTTTATTTTTAACGACATCAGTAACAACAAAGAC